GAGAAATGAAGATGAGAAACCCATGGTTTAATCAAAGATGTAGGCTAGCTAAGCAGCAAAGTAAAAGGGCATGGAGAAACTATAGGAATAACAGGACACTGGAGAGCAGAGAAAGATACCAGAATGCCAGGAATGAATATGTCAGGATGAGAAGAGAGGCAGAAAGACAATACGAAAATGACATCGCAAGCAAGGCAAAGACTCAGCCTAAATTGTTGCATAGCCACATTAGGAGAAAAACAACAGTAAAGGAACAGGTTATGAGATTAAGGATAGGGGCGGAAGGATTCACTACAAATGACAAGGAAGTGTGTGAGGAATTGAATAAGAAATTCCAGGAGGTCTTCACCTTAGAACAAGGAGAAATTCCAGAGGTAAGTGAGGGAATAGCTAACCAGGAACCACTGGAAGAGTTTGAGATTACCAGTGGGGAAGTAAGGAAGTGTTTACTAGAGTTGGACGTGACGAAGGCTATAGGCCCAGATGGAATCTCCCCTTGGGTTCTAAAGGAAGGAGCAAGAGAACTGAGCCTACCACTCTCCATAGTGTATAACAAATCACTGGCAACAGGGGAACTGCCAGATACTTGGAAAGCAGCTAACGTAGTCCCGATATACAAGAAAGGGGATAGACAGGAGGCACTGAACTACAGGCCAGTGTCCCTAACCTGCATACCATGCAAGCTGATGGAGAAGATTGTGCGAAAAAAACTAGTGGAGCATCTGGAGCGAAGGAACTTTGTAACACAGCATCAACATGGGTTCAGGGATGGCAGGTCCTGCCTCACAGGGTTACTTGAATTCTACGACCAGGCAACAAAAATAAGGCAAGAAAGAGAAGGGTGGGCAGACTGCATATTTTTGGATTGTCAGAAAGCCTTTGATACAGTGCCACACAAGAGGCTAGTGCGAAAGTTGGAGATGCAGGCTGGAGTGAGAGGGAAGGTACTCCGGTGGATAGAGGAATACCTAAGCAACAGGAGACAACGAGTCTGTGTGAGGGGTGAGGTCTCAGATTGGCGAGACGTCACAAGTGGAGTCCCGCAGGGGTCAGTCCTTGGACCTATACTGTTTCTGGTATATGTAAATGATCTCCCAGAGGGTATAGATTCGTTCCTCTCAATGTTTGCCGACGATGCAAAAATTATGAGGAGGATTGAAACAGAGGATGATAGTAGGAGGCTACAAGATGACCTGGATAGACTGAGTGAATGGTCCAACAAATGGCTGTTGAAGTTCAACCCGAGTAAATGCAAAGTAATGAAACTAGGCAGTGGAAACAGGAGGCCAGGCACAGGATACAGAATAGGAGATGAAGTACTTAATGAAACAGACAGAGAGAAAGATCTAGGAGTTGATATCACACCAAACCTGTCTCCTGAAGCCCACATAAAGAGAATAACGTCTGCGGCATATGCGAGGCTGGCTAACATCAGAACGGCGTTCAGGAACCTGTGTAAGGAATCATTCAGAATCTTGTACACCACATATGTAAGACCAATCCTGGAGTATGCGGCCCCAGCATGGAGCCCGTACCTTGTCAAGCACAAGACGAAGCTGGAAAAAGTCCAAAGGTATGCTACTAGACTAGTCCCAGAACTAAGAGGCATGAGTTATGAGGAAAGGCTGCGGGAAATGCACCTCACGACACTGGAAGACAGAAGAGTAAGGGGGGACATGATCACAACCTACAAAATCCTCAGGGGAATCGACCGGGTAAACAAGGACGAACTTTTCAACACTGGTGGGACGCGAACAAGGGGACACAGGTGGAAGCTGAGTACCCAAATGAGCCACAGAGACGTTAGAAAGAACTTTTTCAGTGTCAGAGTAGTTAGCAAATGGAATGCATTAGGAAGTGATGTGGTGGAGGCTGACTCCATTCACAGTTTCAAATGTAGATATGATAGAGCCCAATAGGCTCAGGAATCTGTACACCAGTTGATTGACGGTTGAGAGGCGGGACCAAAGAGCCAGAGCTCAACCCCCGCAAGCACAATTAGGTGAGTACAATTAGGTGAGTACACACACACACCCACACACACACACACACACACACACACACACACCACACACACACACACACACACACACACACACACACACACACACTTGTAACACAAGGTGACCAGATCGTGAGAAAAAACCTGGTAACACATCTGGAGAGAAGGGACTTGAGAAAAAACCTGGTAACACACTGGAATCGCCACACATGGGTTCAGGGAGGGTAAATCTTGCCTTACAGGCTTGATAGAATTCTACGATCAGGTGACAAAGATTAAGCAAGAAAGAGAGGGCTGGGCGGACTGCATTTTCTTGGATTGTCGGAAAGCCTTTGACACAGTACCGCATAAGAGGCTGGTACATAAGCTGGAGAGACAGGCAGGTGTAGCTGGTAAGGTGCTCCAGTGGATAAGGGAGTATCTAAGCAATAGGAAGCAGAGAGTTACGGTGAGGGGTGAGACCTCCGATTGGCGTGAAGTCACCAGTGGAGTCCCACAGGGCTCTGTACTCGGTCCTATCTTGTTTCTGATATATGTAAATGATCTCCCGGAGGGTATCGATTCATTTCTCTCAATGTTTGCGGACGATGCTAAAATTATGAGAAGGATTAAAACAGAAGAGGACTGTTTGAGGCTTCAAGAAGACCTAGACAAGCTGAAGGAATGGTCGAACAAATGGTTGTTAGAGTTTAACCCAACCAAATGTAATGTAATGAAGATAGGTGTAGGGAGCAGGAGGCCAGATACAAGGTATCATCTGGGAGAGGAAATTCTTCAGGAGTCAGAGAAGGAAAAAGACTTGGGGGTTGATATCACGCCAGACCTGTCTCCTGCAGCACATATCAAGCGGATAACATCAGCGGCATATGCCAGGCTGGCCAACATACGAACGGCATTCAGAAACTTGTGTAAAGAATCATTCAGAACTTTGTATACCACATATGTCAGGCCAATCCTGGAGTATGCAGCCCCAGCATGGAGTCCATATCTAGTCAAGGATAAGACTAAACTGGAAAAGGTTCAAAGGTTTGCCACCAGACTAGTACCCGAGCTGAGAGGTATGAGCTACGAGGAGAGACTACGGGAATTAAACCTCACTTCGCTGGAAGACAGAAGAGTTAGGGGGGACATGATCACCACATTCAAGATTCTGAAGGGGATTGATAGGGTAGATAAAGACAGTCTATTTAACACAAGGGGAACACGCACAAGGGGACACAGGTGGAAACTGAGTGCCCAAATGAGCCACAGAGATATTAGAAAGAACTTTTTTAGTGTCAGAGTGGTTGACAAATGGAATGCATTAGGAAGTGATGTGGTGGAGGCTGACTCCATACACAGTTTCAAGTGTAGATATGACAGAGCCCGATAGGCTCAGGAATCTGTACACCTGTTGATTGACGGTTGAGAGGCGGGACCAAAGAGCCAGAGCTCAACCCCCGCAAACACAACTAGGTGAGTACAACTAGGTGAGTACACACACAACCCTCACACACACACACACCCACACACCCTCACACACACACACACACACTCACACACACACACACACTCACACACACACACACACACACACACACACACACACACACACACACACACACACACACACACACACACACACACACACACACACACACACACACACACACACACACACACACACACACACACACACACACCCACACACACACACACACACACACACACACACACCCTCACACACACACACACACACACACACACACACACACACACACACACACACACACACACAGCCATATACTCTCATCAACAGTCTAGTATATTGTCTCTTTTTTTTTTAAATTTTGGTGTCAGTCGTTCCTTCGTTTTGGGATTAATCGATTTCATATATGGTTCCCTCAGTGTTATAGTTCACTTGTACTATATTTCCCAACTTCTTATCCTGTCTCTTTCTTTTTGTGTATCGTCCTTTGCTCCTCCTCCTCCTCCTCCTCCTTCTTCTTCTCCTTCTCCTTCTTCTTCTCCTTCTTCTTCCCTCCCTCCCCCCCCCCCAAAAAAAAACGCTGTTTTGTTTCGTCCAGACAAATGGTAACTAGGGGAGCAAATGCTGGGAGATGATGCTAGGAATTGGGGCTAGGAGTAGAGGGTGCTGGGAGAAGGTACTAGGGGAAGGTACTTGGGGTAGGTGCTGGGAAGAGGTGCTGGGAAGAGGTGCTGGGAAGAGGTGCTGGGAAGAGGTGCTGGGAGCTGCGTGTGGGGAAACATGGAATCGTAGGTGCGTGGAACATTAACGACTTCCGGTTGGTGGTCGCCAGCTGGGGTTGAGGTTATTGTGTTCCTAGGTAGACTGTGCACGCACGCTCGCGCGCACGCCAGCTTTCACATACACGCAAGTTTTCAAACTCACACACACGTACACGCACACGCAAGCTCCCTCCGTCATACTCACACAAGCTCTAATACGCTAGCACTCACACACGCTCCCAATTTCACACACACACACGCGCACACACACACACGCACACACACGCAAGCTTTCACATACACATTTCCCATGGGGTGCCTCGCGGCTGAGTGGACAGCGCTCGGGGTTCGTAGACCTAAGGGCCCGGCCGAAGCGGAAACAAATGGGCTGAGTTTCTTTCACACTCATGCCCCTGATCACCTAGCAGTAAATAGGTACTTGGAAGTTATCCAGCTGTTAAGGCTGCTTGCAGAAGTGCTCAAAGAAATGGCTTCGTAAATTCAAGACAATCTGAGATAATGAGAATAAATAAGGAACAGAAAACAGCTTAGATCAACAAACCCCTAAAACAAGACAGGAATAAATGCAAAATTTTGTTTTACATCAGAGGCATAAATATAAATAATTGTTTTATCGAAATGAACAATTTCTAAACTGACGAACAATATTCAGAGACTTTAAAGGGGTTTAGAACACGGTACCCCACCTTCGGGAGACTAGTCCTGGAGTATGCAGCCTTCTTTCTGGAGTTTCAGCTTCATATTCCACATTCGGAAACTTGGGGAGAGAGGCAGTGTACTACTGTGTGTATTATATGCGAGTATACTTGTTTGTATTATCTTCATTAACACTGTGGTTATTACTTGGTACACAAGTGTATTACTGGCCGTATTAGTATGTGTATTTCTGTATGTAATAGTGTATTGTCCTGTGTGTTTCTGAGAAAATTTTGCCTGTAAGTTGAAATGGGCATTGTTGTGAATATTATTGAATTTATAGTTTTATAACTTATTGCATATATAATGACTGTATGAATGTATATATTGCTGTGTATATTAATACGAGTGTTTCTGGCTGTAATACAGCATTGTAAAGAACATGACAGAAGCCAATCATGTGTTTCAAGCTTTGAATAACTCTTGTCAATCAGTGCATGACTCCCCTCTTCCTCCCCCCTCCCTCTCCCCCTCTTGCCATGAGGAACACCTCCTTCTCGACCCCTTCGAAGTATACCTTCCTACACCCAGAGGTATACCTTCCTACACCCAGAGGTATACCTTCCTACACCTAGAGATATACCGTCCCCACCAAAAGATATACCTTCACTCCATCTAGAGGTACGTTAACTTCCCTGTAGCTTTCCCCTCACAGTGTTAATTAACGTCACTATCAACAATGACAGAACACCATCTGCAGGTGGTGGTGGTGGGGGCGGTGCCGGGCCCGAGTGCTTGTTCGTCGGCCTCCTGTTCTTGCTGCCTGTTGCTTCCTCATCTCCGTTTTCCTCCTCCTCAGCAGGTAAGTCCTCAAGGTGGCAATCATATGCCTCCTTTTCACTCTGATTTGTTACTTTCTGCCACTCATTTAAGCTCAATATATCAACTGACATACAGAGAGTTGAGAGGCGGGACTAAAGAGCCAGAGTTCAACACTCGATAACACTGAAGCGAGTACCTCCTCTTCCTGCCAGCAGATGGCGCATAATTATGTCGTTTACCGTTTAGGCATCAATACTTCCACTTACAAGAATACTTTACACTTACACTTCTCCTGTGGGTTTGTAATATACCATCATATTCACTACTAAACTGTACTAATGAATATACACTTGCAGAATACCATCACATGTACACCTTCAGTATACAATCACATGTACACCTACAGTATACGATCACTTATACACCTACAGTATACAATCACTTGTATAGTATTACACAGATTACAGTATACCACTCTGCCTGAGCAGGGAGCAATTAAATATATTGCAAGAGGGAAAAATATACTTAAATGAAAAGCTTTTGAAAATTATGAATACTATTTCTGGAAGGCGCTCATTAAACTGTATAAAGTGATGAAATGAGGAAATGATATGTGAGGAAAATATATGTGAGGAAAATATATGTGAGGAAAATATATGTGAGGAAAATATATGTGAGGAAAATATATGTGAGGAAAATATATGTGAGGAAAATATATGTGAGAAAATTATATGTGAGGAAAATATATGTGAGGAAAATATATGTGAGAAAATTATATGTCTCTCCATGCTCAAGGCCAGATTAAAAAATGCAATACACAATAAAATATAAATATCTCACACCCCACAGATAAAATAATAATAGTAACGTATCATAGAATCAATAAACAAGAACCACTTAGTCACACACACACACACAGAGATCACACTAACGTGATGCATCAAATGAACTTTGGTTTCAACCCTTTTAACCCTGTCGTAGCTCAGTCGATGAAGGCAGTGTCTGGGATGCTCCCGGACGCAGGTTCGAATCCTCGTCACGGCCCTTGTGGATTTGTCCACTTAGTCATTTTGAAGGGAGAGGTTTGAAGCAATTTAACACATGCAACATTTCATACATTTTCAAAACAGGGCAGCAAAGGAAATTTCAGAGCAAGGGGAGTTAAATTACCACTCACCGTGTAATCAATCTTTGAACAAGCTATTCACCCACTTATACACGCTCCTAAATCATACCATCTCTATGTTGTATGATGTGTGTGTGTGTGTATAACATGGAGACACGAGGAAACAAATGGGTAGAGTTTCTTTCATCTCATGCCTCTGTTCACTTAGAAAGACATAGGTGCCTGGATGTTAAATAGCTGCGATGGTCTGTATCCTTAGGATGTGTATGCGGGGACCATCCTCCTCTAATGATAGCCTTACTGTAACTACTTGTTCCAAAGTACCTGTTTTGTAGTGTTGTACCACCAAATGTTCCCGGTTTGTACTTTTAAATTTTATAGAGTCCAAGAAAAAATTAAAAACCAAATCTAAATATTCCTAGGCCTAGTATAACACACATATGTACTATATTAGAGCCCCTAAGATAGCATTGATTAGGCCTAGATTTGCTAGGACAAATAAGTTAAAGTTTTCTAGTTTCATTTCGTATTCAAGAGAATGTCATTTGGGGAACCTTGCGATTACCTTGGCGAAGGTTCCAAGATTCAACATCCCCGCGACGCTGCCACAGTGTCAGCCATACTGTCAGCCATACTGTCACACCAATTCAGTAAAACAGAACGTAAACTTTGTGATGGTCCAACACGACATATTGGTACTTTATATCAAATAGGTACTATAAGTACATTCACTTTAGGTGCACTTTAGCTTCATCATTTTACAGTTTAATTTAGCTATATGTGTTCACATTCATTCTTACACACCTTTTCCCTCACTTAAAGATTAATTTATTTTTCAAAATTCATTCTACTTCCTTCGTCCTAAGCTAGTGTTGTTGTGCTCTCTAGGTTTCTTTTATTTACAAAATAACAAAGTTTAAAGAATAAACATCTTTCCGACATGTCATTTATTGAAGAGAACTGTACCTGAGCGACTGGGAGGAGAGTGAAGTTAACAACACATCGAAAATATCCTCCAACGACTATTCATTTTGTTTCTTTCAGTGTTGTGGTTGTCGACAGAGCGGAACCTGAAAGCCATGCCAGCCTGTTCGTCAAGGGGGAGCAGGACGGTCAACCACAGAGCCGCCACTCTCAACCACACAACCAAGATTACCCACAACAGAACCATCACCTTCCAACGCCTCCTTCATCGTCCTCTATGGTGTCACCGCCACCATCTCGTTCCTCGAGCTTGGCTCTCCCAGTCGCGGGATCTCTCGTCCCACAGAATCGTCATGAACTCCAGGCCTTCAGTGCCCGGGAAAATGTTGTTGAACACGACTCAGCAAACAACAATGGTGACAAATTTGTTGCGCACAAGAGCAGAATCACTGCAAAGAGCCCGACGGACCTGAACAGCGTACATTTGAAGAGCCACAGCTATCACAACAGGGCGAGTACCAACAGCAAAACCAGCGTAAGGGAAAATAATATTTCAGATTTTGGAAGCGAAGGAAAGAGTGGATCGTCGCCAGGTAAGAGTTCCTCGCCCAGAAGCGGCTGGCTGGACATGGTTCAAGGTTTGGTCAGAGGAGAGAGGACTGTCAACCCCGGCATGTTGCTCGGTGCTGTAGCGGCCCTCAAGACATTTCGCTCCGCTGGTGAAGCAGATGACAGCCCTCTGAAGCCCGTGATGGGCGTAGTTCAGGCAGTGAGGCAAGCAATGTTTCCTCAGCCACAAGAGAGCGGCCACGGACTGCCAGACTCGCAGGGATTTCTAAAACCAGAATTCAAAAGTAAAGAAGTAAAAACAAGCCACATGAATGTAACAGGGAACCACACACAGTTATTAGGCAAACGAATGGATTTAAATGAATTAAATGCAAAAGACCATAGCTTTCAAAACAAATCCAAATCGAATTATCTAAATAATGATACACAACAAAGCAGTTTTAATCTAGGTAATATCCAAAAAGCAGTAGGAGTCATAGGGTCCCTTATGGGAGAAGGATCTGCAGGAAAACCAGGACGTCAGAGTGTAGTCGGCTCCCTAATGACCAATCTTGCTTCTCCTTTGCTCGCCGGGGCCTTCTCAGACAACAATAACAAGGCAGGCACTAGTTCAAGCCCTCTTCAGTCTCTAGTAAATGGTTTGGGTCCTGTGCTTCTGAATGGCATAATTCAGCAGGGATTTGGTAGAGACAATTCTGCCCCGAGAAACGCAGATGACATGGCTATATCTAGTCCCTTTCAGGCCTTTATGTCCAAGATGGGGCCCTCCCTTCTAGCAGGAGCAGTGCAGCACGGCTTCAGCGCCATGCAAGGTGGTCAGAGGAGTCAAGGAGGAGACCAGAATTCAAGTCCATTGCAATCAGTTTTGAGCGGCTTAGCGCCGGCTCTCATTGCTGGACTAACACAAGGGAACATGAAACAGGGACAGAACTCACGTAGTGATAAAGTCTCGCAGACTTCTAATCCGATGCAGTCCATTATTCTTGGATTAGCGCCGGCGTTGGTAGCGGGAGCGCTCGGGCAAGGATTTGGCAACGCCATGACTAAGAGCTCTCCAGAAACAGGTAAATCAAGTGACTCTAAGCCTCTAATGAACGGCTTAAGATCGACAAACCTGCCAGCGACAGTCCAGACGAAGCTTGGCAAAAGAGTAGGTGGCAAGAAATTCCGTGGGTCACTTCACGAAGTGACCCACGTGAGAGATGCTGAGAGGGTCGCTTCTGGAGACGCCAGGAAGCGAAGTGGAAGAGCCCTGCAAGTGGACAACAGCGAGACGAAGAGAAAGCTACGAGAGCTCAATCCAAGGACCGAAGATGACGACCACGCTGGAGAGACCTTCCACGACAATTCTGAAGAGATCTTCCACGACAACATCAGAGTGAGGAACGGCGCCCAAGCCAACGCTACAGAGGTCGACAGAAACAACGAGGTACGTAGAGCTTAAAACTAAATTAATTACGCTAACTTATGAGCATTGTCAGTCGATTGAATCCATTAACGTTATATCGTTTTATGTGCAAATCATTAAAGTTGCATTTAATTTAATGATATGCGACAGAAAATGATTAAATATCGATATCAGATAAAATCTGAATCTCCTGGAGCCCAGGTAAATTGAACACCGATATCATTTTATCGATATCATTTTACTTTCCTCTTGCAGTTCATACCTGTTGCTCTTGTACTGTAATTCAATGGAATTTAACTTTAAGTCCTGATTAATGTTGAACAAATGTTATCATTGAGTTATTATTCTATAATAACGTCAATGAAATAATAATATACAGTAATAGCTTACAATATTGAACATAAATAGTAATTGCAGTACTCACAGAATTAAGTTCTAAATCAGTATATTTACTTTTGTTCTCACATTTTAAAAAATATATATATGATAAAATCCTTAAGAGTATAAGCTGGGATTTGGACCATATTATAAGTGCATGGAAATAAAAGCATATAGTAGATAGATCTGATTGCTACCAAAGGATTATATAATATTTTACTAGCATACTTAAAAGCTGTATTTATAACAGTTTCGGTTCACTGCATCCTAGCAGCAGTCACAATATTTTTTTTCATTTCTTTTTCAATAAATTCGGGAATTCAGACACGTAAATCCCTTGAACAACAATGAAGAAAATATTTATCCATAATGAAATGATTAACAAATCATTAACTAATGATTAACATTAATGATGATTAATGATTAACTAATCACCAACAAAGGTGCACATGCAAACACACGTTATTGGGTTTCTATTAACGTTGAACTTAAAAGTTACATTGTCTTAATAATTCATTGCATCGAAAAACGATAGAGCTCTATTGCTTTCTCTTTCAACCGTGAAATTTAATGGAAGGAACCAAGTTATTGTGTCTATCAAGAAAATCATTAAGGTGTAGGGAAGCAGAGCAAACCCTCCAAACACACACCGAAACTACGACGTTGGTACAACGTTCGAACAAGTTTTAACACCACCTAACCAGTTATAACAACTAATATATCAAGTTGTAACAACGTTCCAATACGTCATAAACACATTAAGCCAAGATGTAACAACTTTATTACAAGTTGTTACAAGCGGAAAATAGAGACAGTTTCGGTTTGTGTTTCCAGGGAAGGCATTATAAGTCCTTAACATACCTATCGAGTTCACTATCTTATGAAGATATTTAAGAACCCTTTATATATTAACGTTTGTTTTGTAGTTTTAAATTCAGCTACTCGGAACAAAAAGTTCCAAGTAGCACGGGCTATGGTGAGCCGTAGTTGACTTACCTGGTAGAGGAGCTGGGTTGTAACTCATTATATTACCAATTGCTCGGTATCTATCGAGAAAAACGGGAGAATTCTATTTTTTGAGGAACTATTAACAATTCCCTTACATACATTAAATTCTTCTGTCTGTAAATTATTAATCCTTCCCATATCGCAAAACAACTCAGCAATATCTATGTAATTTACGTCTTTATTAGAAGGAGAAATTTCAAACTTTACCCCCAAGTGATGGAATCATTATCCAGATCTTTTTCCGACAAATTAATACCAAATTCGGAGTTTAGATGTTGGTAACAATCAGTATGCTAAAAGAGCCTAGTTAACTTTCGTTTTGCCCAAAACTCTTTGAGTAATAGTGGCTTCATTAGTTTGTGTAACTCATGTCCACCCATTTGCACATTACTCTTATGTTCTGTGTACAAACATTCTTTTGAATATAACTTTGAATTTGAATGTTTAAGTTTAAGGTCTAACTCAGTACTCACGTCCCAGTAGGCAGCCGGAGCAGTAATCCAACAAAGGCTCGATCCGCATGCACCGAGCGCCGAAAACAATTCTTATTCCTCGTAATGCACTAAAAACTTTTACGTACTTCATCGTCCACACTGTCAACATTTCACAAACATTTCATTAAACTGACGGCCCGCAAAGTCCAGTAAGTTGCCAGAAAGCCGGGATTGAGGCAGCACTTACTCACTAAGACACTCTCTGAGGAAAGCCAACCTTGTTTTCAAAGCACGGGACTTGAACAGTCTACCATCAAAACATTGGTTAAGTGCTCATTAATCCAGGCCAGACTCGTTAGAACTTCGGCCGTTCCCCAAGAAGCATTCCTCAATTTTAACGAAATGTGTATAAAAAATAGGTTTGTTTTCATTTATATATTAATATATTATGTATTTAAGTTTTATATATAGTTAGGCGTCGGTTAGGTTCGGTGCTTAGGTTATGTTGGAGATTATTTCTATTTGATGTACGTGGGTGAAGCATTTACAGCGTTGTGGTTGCAGCCCGTCCTCCAAACAAAGACCCAAAAGTGATTCCATGCACCCACCTAACCCCCTTTTTATGAATGAAAAACGGTTTACACACGACTCAAAACTGATTTCGTTGGAACACTTCCGGAACAAGTGCTTCACTGACGAATTTTGTTCGAACCACAACGCTATAAATGCTTCACCCACGTGCTACATACACAACTAACCACTAACAGAGCTTAACACCTATGCCTATATATATGCTAAAATATTATAATATTATTTTATGTTTGAGAAAATTCCCGTTTTGAAAGAACAGCATGTAAAAATTTATGAATGCGTCTGGGAGGTAGACCGCTGGATGGAATGGACTTGAGTCGAGGACGGGTTGCGTGTCTAAATCGTTTTTCAATCATGAACACGGGGCTTGAGAGCTGAATTAACGTTAATTTGGCCTTTGTTGATAAGGACGGATTGTCGAGGCGCCGCACTACATGTCTGTGAATAAAAAAAAAACTTTTCTACATACGACACAGAGCTCATTACGTTCGATCTTTTTTTCGAACAGTGATTTTCTTACTTATTATGTTCAAATTTGGTGATGCTGTTTGGTGACTGACAGCAGCAATGTGGTGGAGGAGCAGCACGTCTTGTGTGTGCTCAGAGACCTTGATTATGCTGGTCCTCATCTCCTGAGGAGCTCTGAGGCGTCCCTAGATCTCTCTGGCTTCCCTCTTCTCCAGCTTCTAATCCGATGGTTATTGCAGTTGCTGATTGAGTGCTTGTGCAATTTCCTGTGTGTACGAAGACGAGCGTCCTTGTGATTGTGTGGCTGATCACTCTAATTTGGATATTAATTCAAATCAGAACAGTTTCTGGTGGCGTAGTGGTAACATTCTCGCCTAGCGCCTCGCCGCCGATATGGTCAGGGTTCGAGTCCTAGAGCCATGGAGGTTTCATTTGGCGCCAATCTTCATCTGTTCTTCTCCGTAGTAATTGGGTGATTGATTGTCAACTGATTGCCGTTATCAAGTTATAATGGAAATCTCATTATATATATATATATATATATATATATATATATATATATATATATATATATATATATATATATATGTCGTACCTAGTAGCCAGAACGCACTTCTCAGCCTACTATGCAAGGCCCAATTTGCCTAATAAGCCAAGTTTTCATGAATTAATTGTTTTTCGACTACCTAACCTACCTAACCTAACCTAACCTAACTTTTTCGGCTACCTAACCCAACCTAACCTATACAGATAGGTTAGGTTAGGTTAGGTAGGGTTGGTTAGGTTCGGTCATATATCTACGTTAATTTTAACTCCAATAAAAAAAATTGACCTCATACATAATGAAATGGGTAGCTTTATCATTTCATAAGAAAAAAATTAGAGAAAATATATTATTTCAGGAAAACTTGGCTTATTAGGCAAATCGGGCCTTGCATAGTAGGCTGAGAAGTGCGTTCTGGCTACTAGGTACGACATATATATATATATATATATACATAATATATATATATATATATATGTCGTACCTAATAGCCAGAACGCACTTCTCAGCCTACTATTCAAGGCCTGATTTGCCTAATAAGCCAAGTTTTCATGAATTAATGTTTTTTTCGTCTACCTAACCTACCTAACCTAACCTAACCTAGCTTTTTTTGGCTACCTAACCTAACCTTACCTATAAATATAGGTTAGGTTAGGTTAGGTAGGGTTGGTTAGGTTCGGTCATATATCTACGTTAATTTTAACTCCAATAAAAAAAAATTGACCTCATACATAGAGAAAAGGGTTGGTTTATCATTTCATAAGAAATAAATTATATTAAATATATTAATTCAGGAAAACTTGGCTTATTAGGCAAATCGGGCCTTGAATAGTAGGCTGAGAAGTGAGTTCTGGCTACTAGGTACGACATATATATATATATATATATATATATATATATATATATATATATATATATATATATATATATATATATATATAATATTATATATATATATATAATATATATATATATATATATATATATATATATATATATATATATATATGTCGTACCTAGTAGCCAGAACGCACTTCTCAGCCTACTATGCAAGGCCCGATTTGCCTAATAAGCCAAGTTTTCATGAATTATTTGTTTTTCGACTACCTAACCTACCTAACCTAACCTAACCTAACTTTTTCGGCTACCTAACCAAACCTAACCTATGAAGATAGGTTAGGTTAGGTTAGGTAGGGTTGGTTAGGTTCGGTCGTATATCTACATTAATTTTAACTCCAATAAAAAAAAATTGACCTCATACATAATGAAATGGGTAGCTTTATCATTTCATAAGAAAAAAATTAGAAAAAATATATTAATTCAGGAAAACTTGGCTTATTAGGCAAATCGGGCCGTGAATAGTAGGCCAAAAAGTGAGTTCTGGCTACTAGGTACGACATATATATATATATATATATATATATATATATATATATATATATATATATATATATATATGTTTGTGTGTATTTATATTGATTTATATATAGACAATATAATTTGCAATGCTAATAATTAAAAATGCACAATGAAATCACATTAACGTGATGTATCAATAAGAAAATCAGTGGGAGCCATGGAAAGGATTCGAACCCGCACGCTTGGAACTCCCAAGCAAATAACAATACTAACAATTACTGATAAAACATTAACACTACTGAATTAGTTAATATTATTAATAATATAATAATTATTATTACACTGTCAAATTACTAATATTAGTACTGCTACTATAATCAATAATATTAAAAAATGCTCTGAAAGCTTAAACAAATTTGACTACAAATGGGATGTTCTCGGACGCAGGTTCGAATCCTCGTCACGGCCCTTGAGGATTTGTTCATTTGACTACAAATGAATCAAAGTTTGCTGTTATTTTCGTGTCAATAATTATTTTTTTATATTTTCAGTTGTCCCTCTGCATGAAACAAATCGTACTGTGAGGTGGAAACATGTTTATTATTTAAATGTTATATCCCTTATGACGCATGACACCTGACACAGATAATTTAAGAGAGAGAGAGAGAGAGAGAGAGAGAGAGAGAGAGAGAGAGAGAGAGAGAGAGAGAGAGAGAGAGAGAGAGAGAGAGAGAGAGAGAGAGAGAGAGTTAGATAGTGAGAAAGATAGTTAGAAAATGAATGAGAAAGAGATAGAGAGTTAGAAGGTGAGAAAGAGAGAGACAAACATAATGACAGAGAGGCGTTGATGAAGAATCAGCAAGAGGTGTTAACAATCGCTGTTCATCTGAAGGAAACAAATGCAAAAGTTCCTCTAACTTTTTCCGGTAGAATGAGGAGAAAACCGGAGGCGATCTAGTGCGTGTGCTGGCGAAGGCGGTGGTGGGGAACTTGGTGCCGGAGGAGCTCCAGGTGCCAGAGCCCAACTCCACCCGCGGCGTCTGGAACATGGCCGTCAACCTCGCCTTCGGCAACCCCAAAGATGATAAGGGGAGGAAAAGGTAAGACATTCTCGTGAAGATTATCTCTGGTGAAGATTATTTCTCTCTCTGTTGCTATTTATGAATGAAGGAATATAACTCGTTTGGTCTGCTGTAATATCTCCAGGTTTAAGATTGACTCTTGCAACTCTACTTTGCAGCACAAACTCACCAAAATAACAACCAATTTAGCTATAGATTTGTAATCAAAACAAGAGAGGTGCTTTTCACCAATAGTTTATTGCCTGTCTCTACCTCCTCATCACTATCGACTTGAGAATGGTCCAGGACGGACCGAAACGTCGTCGTCCCTTCAACTTCTAGTGTGTGGTCTGGTCAACATACTTCAGCCACGTTATTGTGACTCATCGCCTGCAATAGTCACCAAACCCCACAAAGCTGATAATGGTCCAAGACGGCCTGAAACCTAGTCTTTTCCATTATTTTCAGACATGTGGGTTTGGTGTCTAAATTTCAGCCATTTTATTGTGACTTACTGTCTTCATTTGTCCCTCCTGGTTGCAGTGAATTCTGGAAATGGCTGCGGGAATACGGTGGGGGTGCAGGTGGGGCGCCCACACCTCCACAGTGGATCACAGATGCATTACACAACCCACAGCGAGCCGCCCACGCTATCGAGATGGGCCGAGTATTCGAGATGATGGAGGTTCCCCAGCCCGTGTGTACCAATGTGAAGAGCGTCGGTGGTGTCTTCAACTGGAAAACGGTGAGTGGCTGTGTGTGTTATTACCGAAGTGTAGTTACAGGATGAGAGCTGTGCTCGTGGTGTCCCGTCTTCCCAGTACTCTTTGTCGGATAACGCTTTGAAAACACACACACACACACGCTTAACGTATGTGTGTGCGACGGTTTCCCTGTGTGCATGTGACGGGGATTGTGTTCAGACTGCTCATGTCTGTGACGATCACGGTGTGCGTGTATACCTGTGTCGGGAGTGGTATCATGTACGCAAATTTGTAATCGTAGATGGGGTTTAATCTTAGGTCTTTGTTGCTCCTGGTGCAGAATGTTCTGGACGGAGCCAGAGCTGTGTGCATGGACGCCGACGTCTCACCCCAGCGGGAGGGCTGCGTCGTCTACTCCTTTGGGATACGAGGAAAGTTGAACTTCGAGGAGGACATGGAGAGAATGGGCTGTAAGGTAAGGTCGTCCTCCAACAGCCTGTACGTTTATTTTTCCATCGGCCTATGTTTTCCAACGGCTTGTAGTCCTGTTTTCCAGCTGCATTTAGTCCTCTGTTCCAACGGCCTGTAGTCCGAATTTTCTCAATATTTCTTATGTTTCTTTTTACTGTCGATGGTAATTTTAAAATATACATAAATTTTCAGAAAAATTACGTGGTAATATAGTTGGCAAATGCTTTAAATTATGGCTATTGAAATATATATTGTTTTTAGGAACATAGATAATGGGTTATAGTGAAAGTGCACACAAACAAAGCTTGTTTTTTTAATTGTAAAAATCGTATTCTTAGTTAGGTTTACTTGTGCCAAGCTTGGTTGAGTTAGGTTACGTTTGTTTGGGTCATGTTAGGTTTGTTTGGGTTAGGTTGGGTTGGGATAGGTTAGATATGTTTTACAATCCGTTGGCGAGCCGCCTTGTATACTATGTGTCGTGTAGCCATTGACAATTGCTGCGTGTTCCCAGGTATGGGTGTTCGATCCCTCGACACACAGAGGAAGTGAGAATCCCAGACTCCACTTTCATAGTGTGGGTCTCGCTCCTGTCAACACCACCAGACTCGTCGATGGCAAGGTACTGCTCACTCCTATATGTACTTTATATATATATATATATATATATATATATATATATATATATATATATATATATATATATATATATATATATATATATATATATATGTGTGTGTGTGTGTGTGTGAGTGTGTGTGTGTGAGTGTGTGTGTATGCTTGCGAAAAGGCACTGCAGCCCCTGGGCCCCACCTCGTAAATGTTAATTATTTGATATTCCTTTTAGGGTTAGTTATGGTTTCTTATTTTCAGGGTCAAGAAATCTGTTTGCTGATGTCTCCCCCTTCAATGCCGTTCCCGGAATGTCCAATGTCCCATTATGTCCCATAATGTCCCATACGTCTCATGAAAAAACTTCTTTGTAGCTTTTCTTGTGCAAAGTTTTCACACCAATATTAACTACTAGCCAGTCACTCTCAGGCATTTGCGCAAGATAGTACGTTTGAGATATTCTCAGTCTGGGCTGACTTTCATCCACCCACACACAACACACTCCGCTTTACACACCGAGATCACACTAACGTGATGCATCAAATGAACAAATCCACAAATCCAATCCTCGTCACGGCCCTTGTGGATTTGTACACTCCGCTTCCTCAGAGGAAGGATCATTAATATTTTAACACCATCACAACGCAGGAGACGCCGTTCAGCCTGGGGGGGAATTAACGAGTTGTGTGGAAAAATATAATGGTTGGCGATAATGAAGATCTGGTAACCTCAAACAATGATCAAAGCCCCAAAGCTGTGTAAAGTGTGGTCGGCTTGACAAAGCAGATTGATCTGATATATGGTCAAAGCCTCTTAGGGCTTGAATTGTTTTTGAGCTTATAATTATCTGAAATATTGACCAAACCACACACTAGAAAGTGAAGGGACGAGGACGTTTCGGTCCGTCCTGGATCATTCTCGACTTGAGAATGGTCCAGGACGGACCGAAACGTCGTCGTCCCTTCACTTTCTAGCATGTGGTTCGGTCAACATATTTCAGCCGCGTTATTGTGACTCCTCGTCTGCATCACCTGAAATATAGCCATAGCCTCCAAACTACGGGAAATTTTAGATAACAGGTCAGGATAATGAGGGAAAGGAATACAGACAGAAGAGCGCCACAGAGAGAGACAGATCTCATGTACCTGGGTTGACCTGGTAAACTAGACACCCCGCCTAGTACATAGTGCACTTCACACTCAAGCTTCACGAAAAAATCGTAATTGGTAATCGCGAGCAAGAACTTTTACTGGGGTTCTGATTACGTTTGGCGTTCATTGCAATGTTGGGTTTATTCGTTATATATTTTTATGCCTAGATATTTACAGTGTGTGAACTGTTATGAATGACTTTTATATTGCTGAATATTTGAATTTAAATAATTTAGTTATTACGAACGTACTCTCTCTCTCTCTCTCTCTCTCTCTCTCTCTCTCTCTGTGTATAGAGTAATATATATATATATATATATATATATATATGTGTGTGTGTGTGTGTGTGTGTGTGTGTGTGTGTGTGTGTGTGTGTGTGTGTGTGTATCATATCATTTAATAAAATAACACCGTTATTGTTTACAAATGTTTATCCTTTAATGAATCGTTCTCAAGTCAATTTTATATTTTTATTCTTTAATTTTTTATGTTCTTGTATTTAATTAATGACAGGAGTGGAACCTCTTACCCTTCTCGTCTGTGGTGGAACAGATGGGTCACCTGACCACTACCATTGACTACCTCAAGATGGATATCCAGGGAGATGAATGGCAGGTGAGTATTGAGTACACACACACATGATCACCACCTACAAAATTCTCAAAGGAATTGACAGGGTTGATAAGGATAAACTGTTTAACACGGGTGGTACGCGAACAAGGGGACACAGGTGAAAACTGAGTAGCCATATGAGCTCGATTAGCTAATAGCCTGATTCTGTAAGCACAAATAATAAATACAAATAATTAATACACATACTTGTCTCTCAGCGTTTGTCAAAGGATATACAACATTTAATACACATTATCTACGGCTATACAGGCAGCCCGTCCACAAAAGTTCCCACAGCATCGCAAAAATGATGTACTAAATTGCCCGAACCTAACCTAACCGAGGACTTAGGAATAGAAAACGTGGCAGAGCGTCATTTTTAAGCGAGTCGCTGTAATTTACAGTGCAGCGTATTTTGACGGAGGGGAATATTACGCCAAAATACGATATGTTTTTCCAGAGGAAAAGTGTGCAGTAACTTGAGGCCCGTGTTGTGGCACTTTGTTGCCTGTGTTCTGGCACTTTGTTGCCTGTGTTGTGGCACTTTGTTGCCTGTGTTGTGGCACTTTGTTGCCTGTGTTGTGGCACTTTGTTGCCTGTGGTGTGTGGCACTTTGTTGCCTGTGTTGTGGCACTTTGTTGCCTGTGGTGTGTGGCACTTTGTTGCCTGTGTTGTGGCACTTTGTTGCCTGTGTTGTGGCACTTTGTTGCCTGTGGTGTGTGGCACTTTGTTGCCTGTGTTGTGGCACTTTGTTGCATGTGGAGTGTGGCACTTTGTTGCCTGTGATGTGTGGCACTTTGTTGCCTGTGGAGTGTGGCACTTTGTTGTCTGTGTTGTGTGGCACTTTGTTGCCTGTGTTGTGGCACTTTGTTGCCTGTGATGTGTGGCACTTTGTTGCCTGTGGAGTGTGGCACTTTGTTGCCTGTGTTGTGTGGCACTTTGTTGCCTGTGGAGTGTGGCACTTTGTTGCCTGTGTTGTGGCACTTTGTTGCCTGTGGAGTGTGGCACTTTGTTGCCTGTGATGTGTGGCACTTTGTTGCCTGTGGTGTGTGGCACTTTGGTGCCTGTGTTGTGGCACTTTGTTGCATGTGGTGTGTGGCACTTTGTTGCCTGTGGAGTGTGGCACTTTGTTGCATGTGGTGTGTGGCACTTTGTTGCCTGTGGAGTGTGGCACTTTGTTGCCTGTGGTGTGTGGCACTTTGTTGCCTGTGGAGTGTGGCACTTTGTTGCCTGTGGTGTGTGGCACTTTGTTGCCTGTGGAGTGTGGCACGTTGTTGCCTGTGGTGTGTGGCACTGTGAAGTCAAGAGAGGGGCAGTGATCAATAACGTCTTCTGGCCTCTGCCTTCACTACACAAACATGAACCTTACACACTTAACCAGCACAAACTTGAGTTTCACACACTTGAGCTTTATATATTCACCACCTTACATACTTGAAATTCACACACTTGAACCTCAAGCACTTGAACTTCACACACACCTGATCCTCTCAACACTGGAGTATGTGAGCTTCGAGTACAAGCTCACGGACTCGAAGCTCACACACTTGAACCTCCCTCACCCTACAGGTCCTACAGGAGGTGATGAGAAGCAACAGACACGCCCTCACCAATGTGAAACAGCTTGGGCTCGAGGCGCATCTGGAGGGCGCCCTCCGTGATCCAGCGCTCTACAAGGTCTACCTCGACACCTTCCTGGGACTCGAAAGCTTTGGGTTTCAACTCTTCTACTCGAACGAGAATGAGAGAGATGAGAGGCGTTACGAGGACCCGCTGCTCAAGAGGCGAGTCAGTCCCACCTATGACTTGGCATTCTTAAGGATCTAGCGCTCTCTCTCTCTCTCTCTCCTCTCTCTCTCTCTCTCTCTCCTCTCTCTCTCTCTCTCTCTCTCTCTCTCTCTCTCTCTCTCTCTCTCTCTCTCTCTCTCTCTCTCTCTCTCTCTCTCTCTCTCTCTCTCTCTCTCTCTCTCTCTCTCTCTCTCTCTCTCTCTCTCTCTCTCTCTCTCTCTCTCTCTCTCTCTCTCTCTCTCCATCCGTCTACCTATCTAGTTTTGTTTTTATCTCGTTCTACTTCAATTATCACTTCGTTCTCTTCCTCATGAGATAGTTAAGCTCTATCTCCAAACATTTATAGGTGTATATTAATTATTTATTTATTTGTTAATATGTTATTTATTTGTTTACTCAAAAGTAAAACTTAATAAAAACTAAAATCTAAGCGCACCAATTTTCAGCGATGCCCTGAACCTTAAGTGTTGTTTGTTTCACACAAGGTCAATGTGAGTCCTTAGTGGGAGGTCCTTGGGATGTAGTGCCTGAAGCTAGTGGTAGGCTGTGTAAATAGTCTATAGTAGCTAGTGGTAGGCTGTGTAAATAGTCTATAGTAGCTAGTGGTAGGCTGTGTAAATAGTCTATAGTAGCTAGCTGCAGGCGGTGTAAATAGTCTATAGTAGCTAGCTGCAGGTTGTGTAAATAGTCTATAGTAGCTAGCTGCAGGCGGTGTAAATAGTCTATAGTAGCTAGCTGCAGGCGGTGTAAATGGTCTATAGTAGCTAGCTGCAGGTTGTGTAAATAGTCTATAGTAGCTAGCTGCAGGCGGTGTAAATGGTCTATAGTAGCTAGCTGCAGGCGGTGTAAATAGTCTATAGTAGCTAGCTGCAGGCGGTGTAAATGGTCTATAGTAGCTAGCTGCAGGCGGTGTAAATAGTCTATAGTAGCTAGCTGCAGGCGGTGTAAATGGTCTATAGTAGCTAGCTGCAGGCTGTGTAAATAGTCTATAGTAGCTAGCTGCAGGCGGTGTAAATTGTCTATAGTAGCTAGCTGCAGGCGGTGTAAATAGTCTATAGTAGCTAGTGGTAGGCGGTGTAAATAGTCTATAGTTGCTAGTGGTAGGCTGTGTAAATAGTCTATAGTAGCTAGCTGCAGGCGGTGTAAATAGTCTATAGTAGCTAGCTGCAGGTTGTGTAAATAGTCTATAGTAGCTAGCTGCAGGCGGTGTAAATAGTCTATAGTAGCTAGCTGCAGGCGGTGTAAATGGTCTATAGTAGCTAGCTGCAGGCGGTGTAAATGGTCTATGCTAGCCATAGGTAGAGAGTGTAGTCTTTGGTAGCCAGTATTTGTAGCCTGCTGTAAGCTGAGTAAAAAGTCTGTAGTAGCTTGTGCGAGAAGTCTGAAAGTTCCCAGTAAAAATATACAGTACCGTATCCTTTGCAAATAATAGAACCTGATTATTCATTTGCAAGTTCAAAAGATTGAGCACTCAATTAAAAATGCAAAAATACTAAATAACAAAAGCCTTTGGATTCCACTGCATGTATTAAGACCTTAAGATTCCATTACAAATACTAAACTCTGAGGACTTCATTTCCTAGAGACTTAAGCTGTACAATTCTATTGGAAATATTATAGTTTTAGGATATTAAAAAGAGTAAAATTCTTAGAATTCCGCAACAATAACTAAAGTCTGAGGACTCTATTAAAGTACAAAACCTTGGGATTTTATTGAAGTACTTAAGTCTAATTAATTATGTTGTATATAGCCATCAAGAAGCATTATCTCCTATTATTTAGTTTGTTTTATTTTATTATTCGTTTTGGAATATATGTTAGATATAAAATAACTCGCTCCGGCTTTTTATATTTACGCAAAATATTAAAAATATGTAAAATAATAAACTAAAATGTTTACTGCAAGTTGTCGATTGAACGTGTGTGTGTTTGTGTGTGTTTGTGTGTGTGTTTGTGTGTGTGTGTGTGTGTGTGTTTGTGTGTGTTTGTGTGTGTGTGTGTGTGTGTGTGTGTGTGTGTGTGTGTTTGTGTGTGTTTACTAGTTGTGTTTTTGCGGGGGTTGAGCTTTGCTCTTTCGGCCCGCCTCTCAACTGTCAATCAACTGTTTACTAACTAACTACTAACTTACTAACTACTTTTTTTTCCCCCCACACCACACACACACACACACACCCCAGGAAGCAGCCCGTGACAGCTGACTAACTCCCAGGTACCTATTTACTGCTAGGTAACAGGGGCACTTAGGGTGAAAGAAACTTTGCCCATTTGTTTCTGCCTCGTGCAAATACTAAATTTGTGTGTGTGTGTGTGTGTGTGTGTGTGTGTGTGTGTGTATGTGTGTGTGTGTGTGTGTGTGTGTGTTTGTGTGTGTGTGTGTGTGTGTGTGTGTGTGTGTGTGTGTGTGTGTGTGTGTGTGTGTGTGTACTCACCTAATTGTGCTTGCGGGGGTTGAGCTTTGGCTCTTTGGTCCCGACCAAAGTGTGTTTGTGTGTGTGTGTGTGTTTGCGTTTATATTTTTTAGGGAGAGGGTGAAATTAAATTACAAATGGCATAACAAAACAGCTGTTGATAGAAAAATATGCATTAAAAAAGTGATGGAAATATCTCCAGCTCTGAAATGTATTCTGACTCCAATCAGACATATGTATTAATCTTTGCTTGTTACGCAACTTATGTGTCAAGAACTTATGTGTATTTCCTTAATTCGTGTACTGAGTACTCACCACAAACTCAACTTAATTTTGTTCATGAATATTGATATATACAAAAAATCTATTGTAATAGATAAAACTTAATTATTTTCTTTTAAAGCATAGGGATTTATATGCTTAAGACACACACACACAGTCCATGATTCCGGGTTAGATTCCCGGCCGAAGCTGAAAGAAATGGTCAAATTTTTTTTCACCTAATTCCTCTCTTCACCCATTAGTAGATTGGTACCTGGGATTTAATCAGTTGCTGGGAGCGGAATCCTACGGATATACGAATATGTGTGTGCATGTATGTATGTATATATGTGCGGGCGCGCGCGCGAGTGTGTGTGTGTGTGTGTGTGTGTGTGTGAGAGAGAGGAAGGGAAGGGAAGAAAACTATCAGGAGAAAACGCAAAGCCATTACGTCTATATAGCACTGGGAAGGGGTCAGGATAAGGATTTGGGATGGGACGGGGGGAAGGGAATGGTGCTCAACCACTTAGACGGTCGGGGATTGAACGCCGTCCTGCAAGAGCGAGACCGTCGCTCTACCGTCCAGCCCAAGTGGCTGGAGAAAGTGAGAGAAAGATGTAGTAGATGTGTTAAAGAACATTTATATCAGAGTCAGCACGTTGGACACTCGACGGTTAGAAAGGTGGGGTCCAAGAGCTAAAAGCTCGATCCTGTAGGCACAAAGAGTAAGTACAAACACACACACACACACACACACACACACACACACACACACACACACACACACACACACACACACACACACATATACACACAAAATCACAAATGCAAACACAATTAGCATGAAGTATTTCACTCTTCTGCATTCTGCAAAGTTCACAATAATTCCTCATAATGGATGTAAGCGAGGGGGTCTTGAAGTGATTAACTGTGTTTGGCCTCTACTATGGACAGGAGAAACAAATTACTGCAATATATCACCCCTCTTATCCTTCGCCTTCATCTTTGTATAATTCATTGCTTGTGTAGGATACACAAGCAATGATCTAAGTTTAAATGGATGCACAATACTAAATCACAACATAATGCACACACACACACCCAAAGGGGCACGAACCAGGGGACACAAGTGGAAACTTAGTACCCAAATGGGGCACTTTATAAAGAACTTTTTCAGTGTCAGAGTTGGTAACGGATGGAATGCATTAGACAGTTTATGTGGTGGAGGCTGACTCCATACACAGTTTCAAATGTAGATATGATAAAGCCCAGTAGGCTCAGGAACCTGTACATCAGTTGAAACTCGGTGTGTATGTGTAATAACAACAACATTTACAATAAAAACAATGACAATCCCAATAACAACAACAATGTACATAGGACACAGACTAGAGAGTGAGAAATATATAAAAAAAAATACAATCACGCGAGTCTTTGAGGTTCAAAAGATTTACAAAAAACTTTGCACGATTTTAACAACGTTTTATGATTCTGTCCATTCATATGTTTGTGTACATGTCTGGTTTTTATGTCTACGTGTATTTCTGTATTTATATATGTACATATCTGTATGTAGTTGAATTGTCTGTATATGTGTGGAGGTGTTTGGGTCTATATCTTCATATAGGTGTATAAGACTGTATCTGCATGTTCGTGAGTATTTATGAGAATGACTGTGTGTATATATATATATATAATATGTATATATATATATATATATATATATATATATATATATATATATATATATATATATATATATATATATATATATATATATATATATATATATATATATATATATATATATATATATATATATATATATATTATATATATATATATATATATATTATATATATATATATATATATAATATATATATATATAATATATATATATATATATATATATATATATATATATATATATATATATATATAATCCTAAGCAAGAGACATATTTCCAAGAGATAAAAAGACTCTCCCTCAGAGAAAAAGAAAAACCTTCCTATGAAATTACCTTCTATCATAGAAAGCACTTTCATCACAGAAGGAAAGCTTTCACAGAGATATCAACCTCATTCAATAAGACACACTCTTCATATACAATAAAGATTCTTCGCTATGAGAAACACTTTCTTCAGAGAGAGAAAGCATAGTCCCTCCCGAGCACATCATACCCACATAGAAAACGTGTTCCCGTCACAGGATAACGAAAATGATATCCACATAGAAAACGTACTTCCTCCAGATCATAGGGAAAAAACTATGCACACACAAAAATAAAAAAGCACACAAAAATATCAACAAACGCACACGTCTACATGGAAATACTCTTCCCACAGACGAAAAATCTTTCATCACAAAAGTCATTCTAACAACAGAGAATGCTCCGTTCACTCAAATCAAATTCTCATCAAAATATATATAGA